ATTAATATATATATTTTTAAAAATAAAATATATTTTTAACTAAAAAATATAATTAAATTACTTATATATATTTATTTAAATATATATTAATTATATTTTACGAAAATTAATATACATATAGCGTGATATATTTTTATTTTTTTAATATATATTTATATTACTAATATATATTTTACTTTAATATATATTTATGACCTTAATATATATTACTTTAAATATAATTTTTTAATTATATTAAATAATAATACATATTACAATAAATATAATACTAGTCTTAAACCATTACTATACTCAATACCCCCCCTGCGGACTGACGGGTACCAATGGGACACGAGTGCTGTCGGCTCTCCAAAAAAGCGTTGGATGTGGGACTCCTTGAGGCTCCTGCGAGAAGGATACCAACAATTCTACGATAAGCCATGGCAGGTTTGGACCTCGGAGGGCGACCATATCGTTCTCCCGCCTGTCGCGGTGGATGAGCTGAAGATGCTGCCGGATCATACACTTCCGTCATCGCTGCGAGAGGTAAATGCCGTACCCTGCTAGAAGTTTCATCCTCGAGCCTGGCCTGACAACCGAACAGTTTATGCTACCGCGGTATACTTTCAAGCCGTTTGCGCCTTGGAAGCTGGATTGGGTCAACCATGCCATCCTGCATGACTTGAATAAAAACATGGGTATGGCGTGCTTATCTGCCCCAGAATCGCGGTAGCTGAGACATCCCGGCAGCGAAGATTTTCCCGGCAATGAGAGAAGAGGTCGACATCGCACTGCCAATGGAGCTTCCGACGTCCACCGGTACGTCATCGGAATATGCCCCGGCATTCGGTGGATGTATAATACTCTGCTAACACAGACAGACTGGGCTGAGGTCGATATCTCCACCCAGGTCCTTCGCGTGATCTGTCGTGTCAGCGGAAGAGCTTTCGTCGGTACGGGACTCCACCGGAATGAGGAATGGATCAACATCAGCTGTAACGTGAGTATCTGTCACCTTCAAATAAACAATACACATGATGACGATTACAGTACACCAAGGATCTCTTCCTAGCAGCGCTTAAGCTCCGCGCCGTGCCGTCCTTCGTCCGCCCTGTTCTCGCCCTCTTCCTCCCCGATTTGCGTCGTGTCTACCGACATAATGACCGTGCCCGAGCTCTCGTCCAGCCGATCCTGCAGCAGCGTGAACAAAATGAGAAGGCAAGCGCTGAGTACACAAAACCAAATGACACAATCCAATGGATCCGCGACCTGATCCCGGAAGCGGATCGGAAAGACTATGCTTACCAAGGAGCTGCACAGCTGGCTATCACGGCCGTGTCGGTACAGTCAACAAGCAAGCTCATTGTAAATGTCCTGCTGAACCTCATGAAGTACGGGGAATATGTCCCAGTACTCAAGGAAGAGATCGAGGTCGTCTTGGCGGAGAGCGGTGGTGTCTGGACGCTGGAGAGCATGGGGCGGCTGGAGAGGCTGGATAGTTTCATGAGGGAATCGTTGAGGTTCGAGCCGCCGCTGACAGGTGAGTTTGTCTACGGCAAAGCAAGCGTAGTAGAGCATGGTCGTTGATACGAGAACATCAACAGCAACCTTCCAACGCCGTGCAATGAAACCACTTCAGCTCTCCGACGGCACAGACATCCCCTCGGGTGCACTTCTCCTTGCACCCGCAGACGCAATCGCGTTCGACCCGAACTTCTACCCCGACCCAGAGGCATTCGACGGCCTCCGGTTCTATAAGCTACGGCAGCAGGCGAACGAAAACGGATCTGCCGCTAAAGTGGGCAGCAAGGTGCGCCATCAGTTCGTTGCTACGAGCGAGACACAAGTGCAGTTTGGACTAGGGCGACATGCTTGTCCAGGGAGATGGTTTGCTGGACATGTCATCAAGATGGTTGTGGCGGCGGTGCTGCTGGACTACGATTTGAAGTTCCGGGATGGCGAGGAGAAGCGCAAGACGTTTCTGTTTCAAACGACTAATATGCCGGATCCCAAGACGAGGATTCTCATGCGGAGAAAGGTTTAGCTTGACGTTGGCAGGGTTCAATCAATGCATCTCTACACTACTGTATAGTCCTCTACTACTTATCAGCCCGGACACGCAGTCGCACCATCAACGGCCCCTTATCCCACAGCGTATACACCTTCTGCCTCTCCCATCCCTCACTCTCCGGCGCCAACTCCAGATCAAAATTCCACAGCACCCTAGCCAGGATCACCCGCATCTCATTATACGCAAATGGCTTGCCGAGGCAGTTTCGCGGCCCATAGCTGAATGGCTGCGAGGCCGCAGCCTGGTCTGCACTGAATGGGCCCTCACCCTCACCCTCCCCCAACCACCGCTCAGGCAGGAACTCGCCTCCCTGATAAAAGTTCTCCGCACTATGCGATGCTGACCACGCATGCACGCCGACCGACACATCCCCCGGCACCGCATGTCCCGCTATGAGCGTCACAGTGCCCTTGCGCGTCCTGCGCGGCGGCGCAATCGGGCCCGGTGGGTAGATGCGCAGACCCTCCGCGATGCAAGCCTGCACATACGGCAGGCGCTCTGCAGCCGCGACGAACGAGATCTCGTCTTCCCGCCCAAAGGCACCACGCACCTCGGCCGTTGCCTTCCGCAATGCATCCCTATTTTTCAACAGGTAGTACGTTGTCCCGGAGAGGGCAGTCGCCGTGGTCTCGGTCCCAGCGAGCAAGAGGAAGTTGGTATTTGCTTCGACCTCGCCTGCGCTGAGGGGCGCGTGCTCGCCTTTGACCCTGCCGTTGCCCTTGAGCAGGCAGCTGATGAAATCCGGCTTCTCGTACTCCAGGCCCTTCGCCAGCCGCTCTTCTGTGCTGCGTCCGACGAATTCGAGATGCCTGCGGCGGGCTTCCGTGAGGCGTCGGGGCGCGAGCAGCCTTAGCAGCTGCGGGAACGCATCATGCGTACACACGGCCATCGCCCGCACATACGCGCCGAGTTTGATCGTGCTCATGAACCCGTGGACCCACTCGTGGTACTTGCTCCCGAGGAGGCAGTTGAAGGATTGCCCGATCGCCAGGTCGCCGATGATGTCGAAGGTCGTGAAATTGTACCACTCGACAAGATCGACTCTTGCCAACCCTTGGTCCTTGTCGGCTGAAGAACAAGAAGAGCCGGCGAGCCTCCGCAGCCTCTGGACCAGCAGATCCACATACCCCTTCACAATCCCCTCCTGCTCTCTCAGTGCGCGCTCCGAGAATGCATAGCTGAGAGCCTTGCGCACGCGCGGATGATCATCGTTACCCGCGGTGAAGATGCTATTGCTTTTATCGCGTGAGAGATGGATCAGGCTGTAGAAGCTGGGGTCTTTGATGGGCGCGTTGTCGCCGAAGCCGTATATATCTTTCCATGCTGTTGGCGAGGTGAAGGAAAGCTCCGAGGGGGAGTACCGGACTACGGGCCCGTAGGTCTCGTGCAGCTGTTTTATGGAGAGCTCGAGGTTTCCGGTGATGCTGGCGATGAAGCGTGGGGCGTAGCTTGCGGCCCAGGTTCGGGGGCCTGGGAAGGAGGAAAGAGGGTGCAGGGTTATGTTGTAGAGGGGTTTGAGTGCGGTGTATGCTATGGCCTATTTTTCCTTTCATTTAGATTTACTCGGGGAGTATGAAGGATGCTAGGGTACTTACCGTCCAGAGCAGTGAGAGTAAGATGTCTGTTGTACCTGCTCCCGACCAGAGAGTCATCCTGAGAGGAGATTGATGTTTAACCATCATGCCGTTCTCAGAAGGGGCCTGTCCTCTCTTATACCAGTGAAACTGGCAGGTGCCATTGCAAGTCTTCTTCCCTTTGAAGTACAAGATAATACCACGGATGAATCCGGGAGAGATAAGTCCATGTGTACAGGATATGGTCAAGACAGACAGTCGTATGATCTACATAAGATAATCTACCCTAATCACTCAAACACCCTGGGACAGGCAGACTGGATCTGGTGCATCATGGTAGCCGTCTCAAACTCGGCAAATCCCTTATTTTCCAGAAGAGCCGCAGCAAGCGGACTGACTATGCTGGTTACCTTGACCATGGCCGGGTCCATTCGATCAAAACGTTCTATTACCGCGTCGAGCATCCTTGCCGTGACGGCCGTGCCCCTTCTAAAGCCCGAGCGATCCAGTTAGCAAGAGGCTCAATTACTGCCGTATTCCTAATAAAGGAATATATGCACTTACACAGCACTGGCCAGTTTCGTCGAGCAGATCAGCAGAATCCCCGGGCCCAGGGCATCCGTAAGCTGAGACCAGCGCTTGCCGTATTTCTTCCGTTCGTGGAACTTGGCCCGGAGCTCTGCCCGTCGCGTCTCGTCTAGGGTATTCCACTCCTCGTGGATGCTCTTTAGGATAAGGTCAATGACTTGGGATGCATTGCCCCGTCCCACTGTTGATGGAGGCCGGGTGCTGCCAGTATTGGCGCCAGATGCATGGCGGCCCCGATGCGCGCGGTGTGTCTCGATGTATTCGAGATGCAGTCGGATCAGGCCCATGCGGTCTCGGACCAGATCGTCACTCATGCGCGAGTTGATCTGGCAGACCACTCGATAGGCCTGTTCGAGCTTCACGTACGGTGACTGCGAGGATGCATCTGGCCGTGTCCCGTGCTCGTTCCATATCCCTTGTGTGGTCCAGCGAGGAAGATTCGAACCCAGAAGCGCGTAGTAGTCTTCACTGATTACGTGCTGCGACAGATATCGGACTATCAGATCGGCTTCGGTATCGGCGGAGTTCAACCTCATACTTTGCTTGTGTCTGCCGTCTCTTGTTGTACGGACTCTGCGGTGGGTCGGGGTGGGTGAAGGTAAGTTTCGACGCGGCATATGGCTTGTTCGTCCTGCAGTCGCTGTGGGCTTGACCTGCAGTTGCAATGACTCGGGGGATAGGCTTTGTACATCCACTGCAGTGGGTTGCATAGCTAAGCCTGCTTCATCTGACTCCATGTGATGAAGCCCAGATGCCAAGTTCGGGACGACTGTAGGATTAAAGAACCGGGTCAACCCTGGGTCTCCCAAGCAGCTACCGTCCATGGCCATGTACTCCGGAAACGATGTCTGCTCCTGTTATCCACCGATATCGCAGGTGTCGACGGTAGTTCACCACTTACCCCACTGGAGGCTACACTGCTCGAGGCTTCTGCCAATTCAACCCCGTCGAGCTCTGGCGGGCTTGGAGGCCATGGGAATCCCAGGTTGAGTTGGTCGAGTACATTGTGGTCCATTACACTGGCTTCCCCCTCCACCAGAAGGGCCCAATTGTTGCTGCTGGTTGGTTTCACCCGCATTCGAAAGGGCCCAACGGAATCAATACGGTTCTGGCATAGGAACGCCTGCAGCGCCAGAACAAAGTCGAAGGCACTGGTCTTTGCCTGGTTGTCATGGCACCGATCGGGCGGGCTGGTCACATCCATGGCTGAATTGGCATGGATGAGAGTAGGGGGAGAGCCGTGCGGGAAAGAGGGATCTTCTGCTCGTGGGGCTCTTAAACCCATTGCGATGAGTCGTACGCCCCTACCGAGAGAAGCGAGCGCTTGTAGAGTCCAGACAAGGGTGCCCAGACAAGGCTTCATGCAGATAAGCACGGCCCAATAGTCTTGGCCGGCCCAACAGTCTTGGTGTTCTAGCAGCAGAAAACCTGCATGGCAACGCTGGGCATTTCCTCGGTTTGGTGGTGATCGCCGGTCGCAGTCCAATCAGCCCCTGTTGTCTCCAACTTCTTGATATTGCCTGCAGCTCACGAGCACAGCCAGGCGCGTAACACGACTTGAGGCCACGATCAAAGCTCTTGATTTCGGGTGCTGCCGTTGCGCCCCGTGGGATCGAAGTGGACCGCGTCAGATGTCGATCTGGGGAGACTCGGGGAGTCGGGTGCGGTTGGACTAGAAAGCGAACGCTTAATAGCCAAAGTGATGATTGGTTTGACAGTGTGTGGATTTGGATTCAATGAAGGAATAGCGGCACAGCAGGCTAGCCGGGGTGGTCGCAGCGTGTCCGCGTCAGCCGCCCCTATTAGGGTTAGGGGAGCTATCGAAGCAAATGCATGATTAGCAGCTCGTCTGTGGTGTCTGTCTTCCGTTCTTCCTCATCCACAGTTTCATCCTCAGTCTCAGTCAACCATGCCAGCAGAGCCTGCAGCAGAGCTCGCTCCGGTCCCAGTGCCCGACAGCAAGAATGCTGTCCCGACTCAGCCCCAGGACCCCAACCTGGTACGCACCTGTGACTTTCTTGAATCTTATAATCGGCTTCACTGACTTCCCGATGCAAAAGGTCTCCTGGGATGGCCCAGCTGACCCAGAGCACCCCAAGAACTGGTCCAAATATCGGAAATGGACCTCGATCATCCCCATGTCCCTTTTCAACTTCCTCTCCTCCATGAGTTCTGCCACCATGGCCCCGGCCTTGACCAGCATCCACAACGATCTCGGCTTCTCTTCAACCTACCTCAGCATCCTATCTTTAACGGTCTTCTTGCTGGGATCCGCCTTTGTCCCTCTCATTACCGCCCCTCTTTCCGAAGTCTTCGGCAGGTCTCTCGTGCTGCAATCGATGAATCTGCTGTATATCCTGTTCAACACCCTCTGTGGTGCTGCCAATACGCCGAACCAGCTCATCGTCTTCCGATTTCTGGCTGGGATTGGGGGCGCGGGTCCATTCGCAGTAGGTCTTCCAACAATGGCTTCACATGTCTCAGCGAGTTCGAACGCTAATAGATGACTGGAGTAGATAGGAAGCGGAATCAACGCCGACCTGTTCAAGCCACATGAGCGAGGCCAAGCGATCGCCCTTTTCACATTGGCCCCCTTGCTCGGGATAATCATTGGCCCCATTGTTGGAGGGTTTCTGGTTCAGTACGTCAGCTGGCGATGGTGCTTCTATGTGGTCTCAATCGTGGGAGGGGCCACCCAGCTCCTGGGCCTCCCGTTCTTCCGTGAGACCTATGCTCCTGTTTTGCTGCAGCGACGCTGCAAGGCGCTGAAGAAGAGTACACAGAATCCTGCTCTCTATACCGAGCACGACGGTACCTCTCTGCCCCGGCTTCTCCGCACCAGCCTAACTCGACCCTTCAAACTTCTTGGGACACAACCTGTCGTCCAGGTATGGAGCCTTTACTGTGCTTTCCTCTGGGGGATACTGTACCTTCTCATCGCGACTTTCCCGGACGTTTGGACCGTCACTTATGGTGAATCGATCTCCACTGGCTCTCTGAACTACGTCTCCTTATTTACTGGAATGGCCGTCGCCTCGCAGCTGGGGACCCGGTTGGCCGACAAGGTGTACAGGAGCTTGTCCGCAAAGAATGGCGGCCGGGGGCTCCCTGAGCACCGGCTTCCTGTCCTTTTTGCCGGTGCGATTCTTGTGCCTATAGGGCTGTTTTTTACAGTCTGGCCTACAGATACTGGTCCAGACATCCACGCCCACGTTTTAATTGTTGCTTTGTTACTTTGTATGATATGGACCATGGCCTACAGATACTAGTCCAGGCATACCTTTTTAAGCAGTCCAAAGGTGTACTCATGGAACCGTCCTTGTCAGAACTGACTATGATTGTCGCAGAAACATCGGGGCGGCTATCTACAGTGCCGGCACGCTGGTCGAGGTACTCTGCGTGACAGGCTACATCATCGACACGTATCAAAAGTATGCCGCCAGCGCCATGGCGGCCATATTCGTGCTACGAAGCATTCTAGCTGTTGTTTTACCACTTGCTGCCCCCAGCTTGTATGGCGCCGCTTTCCTCCCGTTATTGACGATACTGAAGCTAACAGTATGCTCTGCAGATATTCTAATTTGGGGTTTGGCTGGGGAAATACCCTGCTTGGCTTGATTTCCATTTGTATCGGCATTCCAGCTCCGGCTCTACTGTGGTACTACGGACCCGCTCTGAGACGCCGGAGTCCATATGCCAGAGACGACTGAGGCACCGGGCTTGTTCTCCTGGAAAACAGGAGCGGCATCTTGGGAGGACTAATGGGCTTCGACCTGACTAGAAATAAGGTACAGTTACCTAGTATGCTGTGGATATGGTCTACAGCGCAGACACCTGGCCAGATAGGGTTTGGCACCTAATATGCAGGCCAGAATCTGGGCGCAGTGCAGAAAGAAATAGAATTGAAAGGTAAGGAGAATAGAGCAGAATGTACTAGAGATATTTCAATCACTTCTTACTAGAATATAGCTATAAGGTCATATTCCATAGCATTATTTGGTTCTGTAATACTTTGAAGACTGGGCCACCAAAAGTTGAACAGTGAATTAACCACCGGCTATAAATTATAGAATCCGGCTATTAAGCATCAAAGCCCTTATAGCTCAGTGGTAGAGCGCGCCACTCGTATATGATGGCTTGGTTATCTTATAAAATGCTAGATTCATTCTGGATCTAAAGGACATGGCGAGGTCTGCGGTTCAATCCCGCATGGGGGCATTTTTTTGCTGGGCTTTGCGTTCTGGTGCACAACTAATGTGCGGAGAGTACAACTAATGTACGGAGAGTATAGCAGACAACAACACAATCTTAGGCAACTTTATCGCCGGGCAGGGGACAACCTTGGAAACAGATCCAACGGTCGCGGCAATATCTCATCAGGCGGGTGCAGGTGCTTGTCAAAGCATCCTTTGGGCTAGGAACAGAGTGGACCAATGAATGTGACATTGATATGGTATGCTTTGCTCGCAGCTGAGATTTGGCAGCATGGATTGTGGATGGGGGGCTCTGACTTGGAATAGCTCTAGAGTGGTGTATGGTACCGACGGACAGGAATGAAAAAGAAATCAGCCACTGGAACATACCCTACAAAGCGTTCCTTCGTTGTTGTCGAAACGTAGTTGGTTCCCAAATACCAAGTCATTGTATCTATAGTTAGGCCATTGAAGGTCAACCGCAGAGGCCTCAGGTTGGCAATGGAGGTCTATAAGTATGGCCAGCCCAGTTCCCCAGTCCCATCATAGCCCTCATCACATCCCATCCAAATCAACCGATCAACTATTCTTAATCCTCAACCATCATGCCCACCAGCAAACGCATGGAGGCCCTTATCCAGGCCCACCACAACCAAACCAGCATTCCCAGACTCCTGGATAATAGCATTAGCTGGTACCAAGCCCTTAATAGCCAGCGCTACTTTAGCCCAGGCATGGTTTATAAAATTAGCCAATTTTATAACAACACCCTTTATATTCACGTTGAGCCCAAGTAGCACTATTACAAGTTTTTTAACCCGCATACTAACCAGGACATGCCACTAAACCAGTACCCGGACAAGAAAACCCGCAATAACCCCAACGCGAGTGCAAGACGGCCTGGGCGTAAGCCCAAAGCACCCACGCCGGGCTTAAAGCCCGGCAATATAAAAGATGGCTTTTACCAGGCCGCCAGCGGCCTAAGGTATAACAAAGTGGGCTAGATTATCTAGGAACACGTGGGCCCGGCCGGCTAGTTTTACGGGTACTAGGCGGAGCCGGTGCGCGGGGGCCCGCGGTTTTAGGAGTTCTACTCCAAGCGGGATATAGACATAGGCGCGGCCGGGGAGGATTTCCCGCGGGCCCCGTACACGGGGAGTCTCAAGACGCAGGAGGCGAATGCGGATGCGGATGCAAGGCGGCCACGGCGCGAGGTCAACCATCGCCCGCGGCAGGCCTGGTACGGCGGGCTGCGGCCGCCCATGCCTCCGCTTCGGCGCTGTGAGGCAAACAAGCGGGCGCAGCCTGTGCTGGGCGCCGAGTCCCCGGGCGTCCTGTATGCGGCGGACGGGCAGTGGTTTGTCGGGGTCGGCAGGGTGGTTGCGCTGGGTGTGACGTATCGGCTTTCTGGGCCGGAGCATCTCCGTGTCTATGTTGAGCCGGTCCCTGGGAAGTCTGGCGGCGACTATGACTTCTTCCACCCCGTCACCCGCGAGTGGATGGACGAGCTGCCCCAGACCAACCCCGTCCCCGGCGTGGAGTGCACGCGCCACCAGCGCAAGTCGCTGCCGAACCGCTGGCGTGACCTTCCGGCTATCACGCGCAGACCCAAGCTTGGGGAGGAGTACCCCGGGCGGTACTTTCCGCCCAAGGCGCCGAAGCGGTTTGTCTACGTTGGGGTGGGCAAGGTGGTCAAGACCGGGGTGGACGAGGGCCGGATCTGGGCGGAGGTCGAGCCGATCCCTGGGAAGACGGGGGGGAAGTACGAGTTCTTTGACCCCTGGACGGGCCAGGATATGCCGGCGGACTACTGGCCTGGGGAGGAGGAGGAGTGGGAGTAGAAATGCTCAATGGTGGTTCAAGGTTGCTGTTCTGCGTTATTTGTGGCATTTGCCGTATCTATCAATCATGCTTCACCATGATATCCCTGCCACTGCATCTCTAAGCCAGTGCACAGTTCAAACCCCAGAGTAGGGCTAGGTCTTTAATACCCATCTATATAGCCACTTATGTATCCGCCTATGAATCGGATGACCTATAACCCTTTTTCAATAGGTTTAACTTTACTATGTTAGAAAAACTTCCCTATATCTCTATTCCAAAACCGCCATGGGCATGGGCATCCCATATTCCCTCCTCGCTCTAACCACCCAATCCGCCCCGAAAACAACAACCACAACGCCAACTATCGCAACGTTATAGTTCATGTTCGCCGCCGTCACAGGCAGGTAATACGGGAAGACCAACCACACACTAGCAAACAGACTCCAAACCACACTAAGCACGCCAATAACGCTGCCCCAGATCCCGAGGTCAAAGTAGTGCGCCGGCAGACTAGACGGGCTCGTCCACTTGGTATACAGAAACGCCGCTACCGTCATCGCGTAGCTGAGATAGAAGCAGACGTTCGCGGCGCCAAAGAACGAGGCCAGCACGAAGCTCGGGCCGAGGGTTAGGAGCAGGGTTAGGGAGGAGAGAATGCCAATGGTTGCGATTGCGTTGGTAGGGACGAGGACATTCGCATGTCCTCGAACATCCCCCTGCTCATCTGCCCCTGAAGCGGCTCGCTTACTGCCAGGAATCCGCTCAAGCCAGCGCCAAAACGGCAGCCCCCGATGCGTCGCAAACGACCACACCACACGGCTCGCCGTCGTCGTCACAGCCGTCGCCGCCACAATCGTCACAAGCACATACAGCAAACTAGCAAGGAGGAACAGCGGCGTGCTGCGCAACGAGTCCAGAAACAGCTGGATGATCGTCACGCCGCCGACGGGATCCAGCAGTGCCTCGCGATCAGCGATACAGAAGCAGAAGATGATCGCCATGGGCAGACCCAGCACCCCCGAGAGAAGCGCATTCCCCACCATGACCTGCGGCACCTGCCTCGCGGGCTGGGACATCTCCTCGACCATGTGCGCGGCGGCATCGAACCCGTTTATGGCTGTTGTGCCGGGGAGCAAGCCGAGGAAGAAGACGACGCCATCGGACGGCCAGCCGGAGTTATTGAGCACGGCTGCGAAGACGTCGTGCGCGGACTGTTTGGGGGCTGTCCGGACCAGCAGCGCGAGTGCGATGAAGAGGACGCCCGCGTTCGTGAGGAACACCATGCTCTTTAGCGCTGCCGGGAGGGTCTTGAAGAGCGGGATGTTCCAGGCGATCGCTAAGAGCGCCTGCGCCCAGGAGATGAGCAGGAGGTGCCATGGCTGCGCGGTGTACAAGGGGTGCAGGGCCATTGCCACGGCCGTTAGGATCTGCGCTGTGAGGAGGTATGTGCCTGCGGTCCAGAGGAACCATGCTGCGGAGGTGAGGGCGCCGGTGCAGTAGCTGAGGACGTTGACGTGGTGCTGTGGGACGAGCTTGCCGATCCAGTAGATGTGGCCTGCCGCTTACTTGTTAGCATAATTTAATACCCTACAACAGGGACATTCTGGATGAAAGATATGCGCACCACTTGGATGCGGAAACACGGCCGCGATCTCGGCGAGCGCGGTGCACAGGACGATGTTCAGCGTGACTGCGAAGATGTACGTGTAGATGTAGAACGGGCTTCCGCCGAGCTCTAGGCTGAATGTGAGATAGCTTCCGACTGCGATCGGGGTGGCGGTTGTGCTGTAGACGAGGCCGAGGGTGCTCCAGATGTTGAAGCGGATTTCCATGCGGCGCTCCTCCATTTGGCCTGAGGATATGTCGACGGTGGCCTCTTGGGGAGGAGGGAATTCCTTCTCTATCTCGGACATGGTCGCTTGAGCTGTGAACGATTATTGATTGATGAATACTACCATAGATAGTTTTATGTTGGTTTGGGGGTTGAGGAGTTAAAGTAGGGCATCACAAACAGCGTCTACAGATAAGAACCTTGGAATTGGTAGGCCTAGCACAAGATAGGAAACGGCTACCATGAATAGAGATGTAGATTAAAAGAAAGTCACTAGCTGCATAGTGCAAAGCTTTCCATGCGACATCTCGCAAATGTAGATACGGTGTCAGAAGCTTCTGCAAGTATCAGGGCCTGGGGTACCTGATACGTAATACTTCGAGATTCTACCCCATAGATAATTGGCGATGAAGGTAGAAGTACTATGGGATATTTTAGTCTTGATAGGCAGTCTTTAGCTTATCTGCGGAGTACCTAGGAGCTACCCCGGGATGGGTGACTTACCATAGTGTATATTATTATCTCAGTCCAATCACAGCCGAGCCATCCATATCGGTCTTTGGCCCAGGGAAGAAGAGTACAGATCTGTCGATTTGATCCGCTATGTCAGGGCCGAGGATAAGCTCGATAGCCAGCAAGTCCTCACCAAGCACTACCATAACAATGGCCCCTCAGTAACCATCCTCTCTACCCTACCAGTGGCTTCAACAAAGCCTCGACTCACCAAATTCGACGAGTTCTATTGCCAGACCAAGAACCAGTATCTCATGGTTCCGCCAGGGGTCACGAGATGTCAAACCCGCAGGTGCAGAGGTTGCTTGGGAGGTAGGTATGGGATTAGTCGGCCTCTTGTGGGTTCTACAAGTACCAGGATCCAATCAGCGATATCTAGGGTTAAGGCCAAGGAGATGGTTTATGTATCGCTTCCTAAATGTTGCCTACTCCACTTCCACTCCGAGACACCTCCAATCCAGCCGGGTTGGTAGATAGGGCATCTAGCCCTAACTCCGCCGCGTAAACTGCTGAACATCCCCCGTCTAAAACCCAATCACAACCTTACTCTCCTCCGTCCGATTAAACCGTTGATAATACTCCGGCGCCTCCTCAATCCCAATCACACTAGTAACAATGAAGCCCGGATGCGCCTGGCCGCTGTTAATAAGCGGCACGATCTCCCCGGCCACCTGGAGCGGGAGCACAATGCCCCCGCTCACAGAGACCATCTTCGCATACGCCGCGCCATAGTCGATATCCGCCTGTCCGGACGAGAACAGTCCAACGACACCGATGCCGCCGCGCGGGGCCGTAACATTAATCAGCTGGCGCACGGTAATCCCCGAATCGATGGCGCCGGACGCATCAACGGCTTCGTAGCCGACTGCTTCCACGCCGCGCCGAACGCCGTTCGGCTCGAGGGCTAGGATCTGCGCGACGGGGTCGGCGTCCTCGAAGTTTATGGGGATCGCGCCGATGGATTCCGCGAGGGAGAGACGGTTGCGCACGCGGTCGATGCTGTAGACGCGTGATGCGCCCCGTAGGAGGGCCGAGTATGCGGCGAGGAGACCGACGGGGCCGGCGCCGAAGACTGCGATGGTGTCGCCGGGTTCGAAACCGGACCAGGTTACGCCGCTCCAGGCTGTTGCGAAGATGTCTGAAGTGAAGAGGTAGTCGATTAGGGTTGTGGTGTTTGTTGTATCGGTTACCGGGACCGGGATGAGCGAGTTGTCGGCGAAGGGGATGCGGGCGTATTCGGCTGGTCGCGTTAATTTCGGGCTCTCATTGAGTAACTTCATAGACGCAATCAGGGTATACTATGGATAGGGTAATGGTAGGTAGGGTACTCACCCTGCAATCCCGGCAAAGCCCCACCCCCCTCTACACCCCCGGAGCTCAGAGACGGAACATACACGTCCGGCTCGGTGGTAAAATGCCCATTGTCAAAGTTATCCGGGATAACCACGTAATCGCCGACTGAGAGGAACTGCACCGAGTCGCCGACCTCGACGACGTGTCCGATCCCCTCGTGTCCGTATAGGTACGGGTGTTCTTCGGATCCAGACGCAGCGCGGTAGCTGTGGAGGTCGCTGCCGCAGATGGCGGAGGCGTTCATGCGCACGATTACGTCGGTGCCGTTGAGGATTGTGGGCATTGGTCTGTCGATGACGGAGACGTTGAAGGGGGTGCCGAATTGGGCGACGGCGCGCATGGTTAGGGACATTTTGCTCTGGTAATATTGTGATTGGGAATTGAGATGAGTAGGTAGGTAGGTACCTTGCGAGACATCTCAGGCCCCAAGCTGTTTTATACATGCTCGCCAAGAAGGAACGCGTGTCCGTCAGGTATCGTGCCAGGATCGTGTCAGGAATAGCATGGACGGGGTGGCATTATGTCTGCCAAGAGAGTGGAGGAATCGTGACATTGCATCAGTTACGGCGATATGGTTAAGCCCGCAGGTTGTGTGCATTGCAGCCTTGCAGAGTATGGTGAGATGCGTAAGCCAGCTGCTGATCCCATGTCGTCATTCGTAACGGGCATGGTCTAGACATGGATGATAGGTGCCGAGAAGCTCTGGAGAGAACATCTTCTAGCTTGGTATATATGATCAACATAAGCATTGCGGAGACCATTGACCAGGCACAATTAGCGTGCAGACGCCTCAGGGGATAAGCACCCTGCATTAGCGTCTAGGCGTAAGCAAGGCGCTGCTCTTGGCTTGCCAAGTCAGGGCGGGAGTTACAGTAAGTAGGTATGATCTCAGCTGGCATCATACCTAGATGATGACAGTGAATTCCAAGGTAGGGCTAACTACGTCGCCTGCATCCCGCAAGCAGTCGGCACATGACCTCGGGACCTTTCCCCCTCTACCTTTCTTGTTATAAAACTTGAGCATGATTGAATGCAATAGGTAACTATGCAACTATTTATCTTGCTTTCGCTTATACTCTTGGAGTTAGAGACGCGGCGCGAGTAAAGCCGCTCTCATGATTGCAAATACCGTTGAAATGGATCGATTGGATTACCGTATAGAGAGCCACAGTGGGGGACCTCAAATGATGGAGAATATCCAGCCTTTGGTTTGGGTCACATATAAGTCTTCTTTATGTACTCATTCTTATAGTAGTGTTGATGCCTCGATCTTAGGTTGTTCGGTCTTACAGAGATCGAAAGTAATTGCCCAGGGTATCAAAACACAGACAAGGCTGATAGTACTACCTATGACAGGCCTAGAACGGAGACCCAGCCATCTGCACATCCGGCTGTGGACTCTCCGACGCCGCCGCCGCCTCCAACATCGCCACGATACGAGCGCGCCCCCTTTTCTCCGCCACCGTCAACGGGCTGTCCCCGTCCGCATTCCGGCGATGCATCTGCACCCGCCCCGGGGCGTAGCAAGCAGCATCTCAACCACCCCCTCGCCGGGGTCACACCCCACCATAACTCCATCTTCCCAAACCGTCCGGACAGAGCGAGCAGCCAGACAGCCCCCATACTGCGGAAGCCCCTCAACAGCAAGCATAAGCGGCGTGCAGAGGGCGTCATCAAGCGGATCGGGCTCAACACCCTGATCAAGCAGCCCACGCACAACATGGAGACGATCATGCAACGCCGCTGCGTGGAGTGGCGTCTGGCCGCGCGGACCTACCACGCTGCCGTCCACGCGGCCGCTCCGCACCAGGTCCAGGAATGTGCTGTCCATTGCTTTATGTGGCGCCGACATGGCAAGCAGCAGCGGCGACTGGTTCAGGTTGTCGCGACAGTCGACGTCCACGTCCGGTACGGCAAGTAACATCTCCACGGCCTCGGTGTGTCCGATCTTCGCTGCTGCATGGAGAGGTGTTGTCCCGTCGTGGCTGCCGCGATTGATGTGCGCATTGTACTTGCCTGTTGCCAGCAACATGCGCACGATCTTTTTGTAGGCATGCGAGGGCCAACCCATTCGGCCGCACATGGCAGCCAGCAGGAGGGGAGATCGGCCTTTGATGTCGCATGAGGTGGGATCTACTTGTGGTATTGCGAGAAGGAGTTCCACGATCTCTGCGTTTTCGTGGAATACCGCGTGTGAGAGCGGGCTCCGGTTATTGTTGTCTCGAATGTCTGGATTGATGCCGCTGTGGGCTAGAAGGAGGCGGACGATTTCTGTCCGCCGGAGTTCGGCGGCCAGCATGAGTGGTGTCTTGCCTGGTGTGCCTTCTATTTGGAGCGCGGTGTTGGCGCCGTCGCGCAGGACCAAGGCGCATAGTTGTGGGTTTGAATCGTGGATCGCCCGCACGAGGATCTCGCCGCGTTTTTCGGCGAGTGTGTCAAAAAACATTTTGGGGTCTGTTAGGTATAGGTTCAGTTGGAATTGCTTTATCAATCTTCAAGGATTTATGAGTGGAGGCAGATTACCGAGTGGGAGGCAGGAGGTCTCAGGTTCTTGCTTCGACCGTTGATTTAAGCCTGAAAACCCCCAAATCTAGGCATCACACTGAGAGACAAATATCGAGGTGACAGATCTTGGAAGTTGGATCAAAGGATTCATTGAGAAAGCGGCGGAGCGGGACCTTAATATCCATTTCCACTGGCGCTTCTGTGGAGCCACCTTGATTTGAATTGTTGTCGGAAAGTGACCCGTCTAGCCCAGTTAGTAGTACTTAGCAGGTCTACCTACCTAGGTCCACAGGTACCCTGGGCCCTTGGTCTACGGAGTAGGTGCTCGCCTACCCCACCTAGGTAATGGAAGACTTTGCGCTATAAAAAACTATGGATGCATCAGGCTGCGTGTTTGCCTCTACCATATAATGGGAAATCAACAAAGCATGCCACTAAGGGCATGGCAAGAGCCACTAGTATGAGAAATCATGGGCCCACCGGTTCGTAGCGAAGTTCGAACCCGTGGAACCATCCGATGGAAATTAATATTAGGTGGATAGCCAATCTAATCACCCAGATTTGAAGAGTCTAGTACCTCTACTTTGGAAACAACCGAGCCAGCCAACCCTGAATCAGACCTATTGCCTGCAAAGCACCGGCTGCCCTGCAACCCCGTCCACAACGACCATCACCAGGACAAAATAAGAGACATGCAACCCAACAACCGTGACGCAAATGGACTCGACATTACCCACCCCAGACGCCGAAACCCGTCCTCAATCCCCTGCATGCTCCTCAGCCAAGAAAGCGCTGGGACGCCTGCTGGCCAACGCCCACCACAAGCAAAGACTCAAAGCCAAAAGTCAGATCCTGGCGAAATCGGGGTCTTGACCTGTGATTACAAGGTCCTCTGCCCCGTTCACTTGCAGGTGTAGTCTAGAGTATCGGAGCAGAGTAGCCGACCCGGGGAGCATAAATATACCACCATGTCAAAAGAATCAATCAATACTTCTATGGTTTAGAATACTGCCGAGCTACTAGGTAGGGAGTCAGACACGCCCGCCTAAGAGCCGGATCCGGACCCTCCACACACCCCGACATATAAGCGTCATCCTGGTCCTCCAGCGGCGCAGCAGCCTTCAACATCTCCACGATATCACCCATCCCCTTCCTCTCCGCCACAGTCAACGCGCTCTCCCCAGCAGCCTTATGATGAATCCGTACCCGCCCCGTACCAAGCAACATCTCAACAACCTCGACAAGCCTCGCATTATCTCCACCACCAGGGCGGAAAAGCCGAGAGTCATTCGGCCCATTGCTGAAAACATCCCACCCTGACTGAGCAACGGGCTGAAGCTCCCGAACAGCAAGCAACAACGGCGTGTCCTTGCGCGAGTCAAGCGCATTCACATCAGCCCCCAAAGCAAGCAGCTGCCGGACAACGCCCGCCCGCCCAAACCTCGCAGCCTTATGCAGCGCCGTCTGCCCGTCCCTATCGGCGCGATGCGGATCTACCAGACCCCGCCGCGCCAGCTCAAGAAGCAAAGTAGCAGCTTCCTCGGCCCGCGCCCTCGACGCAAGGATCAGCGGCGTTGCGTGCGAGTACTCGTCCACGGGGTCCGGGTCAGCGCCGAGGTCGAGGAGTTGGCGCACCACGGCAGCACGGCCGTTCAGTGCGGCGCGGTGGAGGGCCGTCGCGCCAGTCTCGGTTTTCGCATTGGGGTCGACTATGCCCCGACGCGCTAGGTCTAAGAAGATATCGGCTGTTTCGGCGGACGGCGACGAGCTAGCGAGCATCAGTGGCGTGTGGCCATTCCTGTCGCGGGAATCAGGGTCCACGCCCTCTGTGGCAAGGAGGATGTGTACGACCTCGTGTTGGCCTGCCTGCACGGCGGCATGGAGCGGCGTCGCACCGTCGGGGCGGCCGGCCAGGTTGGGGTCCACGCCCTTTTGGGATAAAAGGAGCTGAACTATTTCTGTTTGCCCTGATTCGGCGGCGAACATGAGTGGTGTTTTGCGGCGGTCCATCCGTATTGAGGGGTTGGCGCCGTCGCGGAGGGCCGACGTGCATAGTTGGACGTTGGATGTTTGGACTGCATGGACAAGGGTTTGGTCGAGTTTGTGCAGGACGTCTTTGCGGGTGGTGAGAAGGAGTTTTGTTATGTTGTAGACGTGGCGGGTTGCTCTGGCGAACGAGGCGAGGTCCGCGGGGGAGAGGATGTGAGATGCTATTCCGGCGATGACATTATCTGGGAGGGCGTCGAGGGGCATTATCTTAGTTGATGTGAGCAGATCAACGTTCGAGATCTCGGGGTGAAGTTAAGGGGGAGGGGGACGAAAGTATAGTCGGGTGGAGACCCTTATATTGTTGAAGTCAAGAAGAGCTTTCCGGCTTGAGGGACTTTTGCATTTAGAATTAAGCGAAGCTATCAAGCTAGCTGGGCAAGCGATGCCAGTCGGATAAAATCTGGATCGAAAATCAATAGTTCCTGGAATGGTGGGTCAACCTACCATATTCAGGGTCTGGCTTAGACCCCGCGAAAGGGGGAAATCAGAGCGCTACAGATACTGCATGGAGCGAGAATACATTGATAGCCAGTACTATGTATCCAGCAACACTGTAAATGACCTAGAGTTTCATCTCCCAGAATGTGGCCAAATACCGTGGTATAGTCCGGAATGAGGTGCGGGACTCGGGCCTCGGCCTGACTTAGGGCTTACTGCCCTAAGTCCCCTTGTCTTCTATATTGTACCTAACAGCAAGGCTATCCGAGCTATATGAACGAATAGGTCAATGTATACTCTTTTTTCTCTTAGTCAAGGTCCTAGGTCATATGGTATTAACAACCGTTAATCCAAACAAGATCCAATCTGATCCTCGACCGTCCTCCTCGGCCCAATCATCGAACTCACATCTGCATCACTACCAGTATCCTCTATACACACAATAACCCTCTCGACGAGGGGATTGATTGTGGGGAAAAAAGCGGATCGTTTTGTTGCAAGTTCGACGCTGGTGAGTTGGTGGGTTTGTGTTTGCTACATGCCAGGCACTGCATGCGAAGGCAGCAGGATGCACAATGACTCCAACTGTGCAGGCGCAGTTGATAAAGAGCCCCGGGCATCTCAACAAGATAACCTTGCACTGCTCCTACCATCTTGTCCTCCTCTTGCTCATTGTTGTATTGTCAGGGCCACTCAATTTGTTCTAGTTAAGGACCTTTTGCTCCATGCGTCCCATTCCAGGCTACATAATATCGCTTTTCTCCCGAGGCAGAGCGCCGAAAAAGCCACGCACAAACAAAACATGCGTAACAACCCAGTCGCCCAGAAACCAGGCCCACCAGTGCGATTCAAAGCCAAGATGGTGAAATTGTGTGGTTTGAAATTTCCATGCCCGGTCTGGACAGGACCCGAAGCCAACGGTGTGGATTACGCACTGCAAATGATAGGAGGATCTCCAGCGTATGCTGAGGGCAAGATAAACAAAGCCGTGCTCCGGAAATAACTATCATGTCTGGATTCTGTAGGAGGATCGAGTAGGTACCGGGCCGTCCCGGACACGGAGATTTCCGTCCGAAGTATCCCGTCAGGGACGAGTCCAGACTCCACAAACATAATGTGAATATCCAGAAGGACAGTGAAACATCGGCCGAACCTTGTCGGTGCTTGCGCCTCCACAAGGCAGCTTGCTGCCCCACTGTCGGCCTTGATTCCGGTGATCGTCACTCCCTATCAATCGAAGTTCCACTCAAGCTCTACAACTGCTGGCGTCGAGGACTGAACCCTAAGAGCATGTATGAAGCGAAGAATCTGAAGCCGGTTATTGGAAAGTCATCAAACGAAGCAATTCGATACGAGTCTTTACCGCTGCTGCGCGATTATCACCAGAATCAGATTGGTATCCCGGTCAGCCAAGGCCCCAAGGATGCGCAACCTTACCCACGGACCAGCGATCGTAGATTAGTTCATCTCGAACCCTGCCCATCACCGGCATTAACTCAGCCTGGCCAGCCACAGACGCGTCTCTCGGAAGAATGCCCCCATCGCGATTTCACCGATTGGAGCATCCCTAAGACAAAGACGGCGCCTTCCCTCGGAGATCTCCTAGCTGGACTCCACCGGACTGAATTGCTCATCCACTGGCCAGTCGACATACTCTGTATTAGCGGAGTTATACGAGTCTTTAGGCAACCCGTTTATGCACCTGGACTGCGGCAATTACCCGACTCCAACGTCATGGCTTGATATGTATGTAGTGGAACGGGGCTGGAGCACAGATACGTGATATAAACCCATCCCTGCCCTTCGCGACGATCCTTGCTTCTCTTACCATCGCCAAACTCTTTTTTTTGTCCCATTCTTGATTTTTCTCCGTCTGTTTTTCGTTTTCTTCTAGTTTCCTGCAGAATCGTCCAACATGCGTTTCCCCTTTCCGTCCGCAGTGGCAGTGGCAGCTCTTGCTGCAATCCCTCAAGCTACGGCCATCGCCACGGACATCGACCAGTGGGATGTCCTCGCTGGCAAGGCCTTGGCCAACCAGGTGCTCTACCAGTTCACCAAGCCCCGATACACCGATAGCGAATGCACGCCCTTCAATGCCGCTGTTCGTCGAGAATGGTACATCGGTCTTGTCACATATACTTCTCGCATCGCTGACAGCTTCTCTAGGGGGACCCTCTCCAAGCAGGAACGCAAGGAGTACATTGACGCTGTAATCTGTCTCACTGAGAGTCCCTCGCAAATCGACCCTGCCCTGGCTCCTGGCGCGCGCACTCGCTACGACGACTTTGTGGCGGTTCACATTAACCAAACACTGAGAATCCACACGACAGTTCGTTCCCATATCTTATTACACTCCGTGTATACCCGGGCGGCAGACTAATAGATACAGGGAAACTTTCTGACATGGCACCGGTACTTTACCTGGGCCTACGAGCAGGCCCTCCGCAACGAGTGTGGCTATACCGGTTACCAGCCATACTGGGCCTGGGGCAAATACGCTGATGACCTGTTGAACTCGCCTATCTTTGATGGCTCTGAGTATAGCATGTCGGGCGACGGGTTATATATCCCCCACGATGGGCCCGAGATCTTCACAGGCCTGTTCCTGGAACCCGGAAACGGCGGCGGCTGCGTCACCTCTGGCCCATTCAAAAAGTGCATACTTCACCCTATACCCTCGTACTTACTGCCGTGTCACAAGATGAGCACCAAGTCCATAGCCCCGCTTCACAACCCAACTAACCCCTTAATCTAGCTTGACTGTAAACCTCGGCCCCCTCTTCGTAACCCTGAACGTCCCCGGCGTCAAAGCCCAAAACGGCACGGGCCTAGAGTCCAACCCGCGCTGCCTCCGCCGCGACATCAACGCCGACGCCGCGAAATGGACAACAGACGCACACGTCACCGACCTCATAACCAACTACCGCGACATCTCCTCCTTCCAAAACAGACTGCAGGGCGACTTCGACAACGGCTACGTCGGCGTGCACACAGGCGGGCACTACACGATTGGCGGGGACCCAGCCGGCGACTTCTACGCTTCCCCCGGGGACCCTGCGTTCTTCCTACACCATGCAGCGATAGACCGGGTTTTCTGGACGTGGCAGAACCTGGACCCTGCTACTCGCACGTTTGTGGTTCACGGCCCGACGCTGTTGCCTGGGCGTGGACCGAGTCCGAATGCGACGCTGGACGACGTGCAGTATTTTGATGTTCTTGCGCAGGATCGGACGATCCGCGAGCTGCTGGATACGACTGCGGGGCCGTTTTGCTATGTTTATCTTTAGTCTATAGGGGCTTTCAAGGCCTTACTTAGGTAGGTAAGGCATGGAGGTTATTGTCTTCCTAACTAAGGAAGATATGGTGGTTCGAGGCCTGTAGGGCTTAGGGTAGTAGGTGTAAAAGCATGGAGGTGTAAAAGCCCTGGGGAGTATAAGTATAAATATGCCTTTATTTATACAAAAAGACAATGAATGGGATTGGTGGTAGGAGTGTGATTCAACCACGGCCTTGACCGTGCCTGCCCCACTCAGCCACTCAACCTCCACCCAAAAATAGACGGCCCGAACCGGGATTCGAACCCGGGGCCTCTCGCAGATCAGTGTTTAAGACTAAGGGTGGACCCGCTTAGGGAAAGTTAGACGTTGCCGGAGCATGATTGGATATGGTGTTCTTACAAGCGAGAATCATACCACTAGACCATCCGGGCGATGTGCGAACTCAGGATCGAACCGTGGTATGAACGCGGGGACTCTCGCAAGCAATATGCCTTGGTACCCTAAATTCCAGGGTTGGAGTATACATAGCTGTACCCTCTTTGTCATGGGTGGAAAGACACTGCACTGCATTTGTTCTAGCTTTAATTGCGCATTTTAATCTTGTGGCATGTCCTGTGAGCAGGTTGGCCCACCCTCAGACCTCCAGGCTGTCTGCGAGAGTTGAGGTGACCTGAGGTGTTCTAAACACTACTTAAGTATCTGTTACTATTACTACATTGTGGGAAAATCCACAATCATGGTGAAATAATATTAACAATCAATGGAATCCAGGCTTCAATTCAGTCTCGCAGGATCCGAGCACCATCCAACCCCCTGATCTCATCCCCTTGCACACCCCCAACCTCCCACCCCTCCCCCTCCACAACCAGTACAAGATCCCTCTTGACTTCATCTGCATCCGCATACCCAAGATCCCAACACTTCCCCAGAATCCCATCCAACCCCCCCTCCCCCAACCTCGGCCACAGCCCGCGCGCCAATATACCCTTGACATCTTCAAGATTTCGATCACCAGCAGGCCAGCACCCAGTCAACAGCTCAAAGACAAGCGCCGCCCAGAGAAACAAATCCGTCTTCGCGGTAGCCACATCCCGATCCCATCTACCCCCGGGACCCGTCCCCCTCCCGGGGATCAGGCGCGGGTGGAACGGGAAATTGTATTCGCTGCCCCAGGTGGATTCGTTCGTGTATCTTGTGCCATGCATGGGCTCCATGTACACCGCGTCCAGGAAGCCGAGGATCGAGATGGAGAAGTCCGGAGCCGAGAGCCAGCATGTGTGGACGTGCAGGTCGCCGAGGATGACGTTCCTGGCGTGGATGAAACCCAGAGCCGAGAGGAGCTGCAGGGCCCATTGGAAGATGAGAGGGCGGTAGGCGGGATTCAGCTTCAGGTAGAGCCGGGCATTTCCATTATGCTTCTCACTTCCACTCGGCTCCGCCTCGGTGTCGTCTCCAGCAGCATACGCATACATGGACGCGCGATGCTCGTCGAGAAACCCCGCCAGCGTCGCAGCCGGCTTCTGGAGGATCGGGAGCGCGGTCCATGGATCCCGGCCACGGAATTGGACGAGCCGTGGATGGCCAGGGTTGCCGATGACTTCATACACGCGCGTCGTTTTCCACACGCGGCTCTCGTCTTTCCCTGCGTCGCCGTTGGTGGACATGTGGTCCTCGTCTGTGTAGCGCTCCAGCGGAGGGTCGGAATATGGGTCCAGCATCTCGCTGAACCCGTTGGATAAAAGGACGACTGTGTTCTCGTCGACTTGCTCTACTAAGATGCCAGAATTCCCGATTTCAAAAGGGAATTGCCGGTCATTAGGGTTCTTTGCGCGGAATTGCAGGATTTTGTCGAAGAGGTCGGCGGGACGAGAGCCAGGGGTAGGGCGGAGCAGGAGTGTACGGGTAGTTCGTGCCATGTTGCTGGTGGATGAGGAAATGGAGAGGAACAGAAGGCAGAGCGGACGACAAGGAAAAAAAGCCAATCTAAAGGTGCTTAGTCACAGAACTAGAAGGACACTGTCTTCCAAGGTTATTTTTAATAATGTTACTATGTCTTGCTAGTTTAGTTAAAGACTGCTATATTGACAGGACCTTTATACTATAGTAATGAAATATATATGTAAAGCTAAAATAAATAGAGTATTTATTTTATTTATAATGAATTGGGTATAGTTATAGTCTAACCGTAACATTAACAGGTATATATATATAAATACCTACAACAATCATAATAAGAAGACGGGCTATGGCGCCTATCCAGGGTGCAAGCTGATGACGGTCACAGCGAGCAGAGACATAATGTCCGATAGGAGAGAAAGACGTTGCGGTGACCATATGGAAGAAACAATCATCAGATTCAAATCTTAAAGAAAGCCAGTACCTACTACCTAGGTACCCAGGTACTACCGTGTATATGTCAGGACAAATCTAGACCTCCGGGACCAGGCATGATGAAGTCAAACCGAGATGAAAGGTTGACCAGATCCCAAAGACGCGTTCATAAGGTATACCCTCGACCCTGGAAGCACGTTATATCGTATATCCTGGAATATGAAGCTTGGTGGTTTCTTGTCCGATGGGCGTCGCAATGCTAGCCGGACTTGCCATGTCCAGGCCCTCTGCGTTGGTAGCGGATGACATCCAACCAAGCAAAACCAGACCTCTTTGCTGTCTAGATAGATTATGGCCCTGTATCTTTAAATGAGAGATATAGGCAGACGCAGGTTCGGCTTCGGGGACGTACTCAACAAGTCAGCTCAGGGATTCACTGTCTGTTAGTCGGGGAAGGTGTTGGGGATTGATTAGCCTGCATATGTGCTACCGCAATCATGCAGCCATAAACACGCCAATTCAAACCATGGGGTAATATAAACATTCCAATGAACAAGTCTAAGTCTGCGTAATATCTAAACCGCCTCCCCCGTCGCCAGAACATCCACGACCTTCTGGAAATTCAGCGCAAGCTCTGCATCCCCCTGACCGAAATCTCCCTTAAGGCAACTCAAAACAGCCTGTGAATACCCATAGCCCATCTCGGTCGGAAGTTTCTGCTTTGCCCACGCGACAAGCTCTGCAAGAACTTCCTTGTCCTTGGGCAAACGTCCCGTCCGCTTCGTCTCGCTGATCCTGCTCCGCATCAGTCGAGACATTGTAACCCACAGACCGATCTCGAGGAGCACGACGCCTAGCGAGTAAATGTCGTGGCCCCGCTGGAACGGCTTGTCGGGGTCGCCTTGCCGATCGGGATGCCGATACAGGTTCGGCTCAGCGTCGAAGTCGGCGGCCATGGCCGTGCCTTGTGTTTCGGAGCGTGCGTACCCCCAGTCACTCAGGTATGCGTGGATCCGGTTCTTGCTGTTTGGGACTATGCGATGTTTTTGGAGCTCTGAGACTTGGACGCCCGTTGGCGTGTCGAGGAAGAGGAGGATGCCGCGGCTCCAGATGTTCTTGTGCAGCCATCTTGAGGCGTGGATGTTTTGCACGGTGATCGCCAGACAGTGTGCCATGGTAAAGCGATCATTGAGCGTCGGCTTGGTGCGTTTTGCGTCGCCATCGCCAGCATTGATGTAGGAATGCAGGGTGATGAGGCTCTGCATTTCGACGTCTTGGGGCGTGGGCAGACGGTAGAGGAACATATGTCGGTCTTCGAATGGTTGATCGATATATCCCAGGCACTCTAATGCATATATCTTCGGAGGCGCCAATTGCTCGGGTTCGCTCTTGGACTTGCGACTACCAAAAGTGCTGTTTTTCAATAACCAGGCCAGATCGCGGATGGGGGCTTTCAGTTTCGCGATCTCGTCAGGGTCAAGGCCATCCCTCCGCAACTTCTTCGGATACTCATGATACTCCACAATAACGGCGGTGCTTGAAGCCCCGCCGGCTTCTGTCCAGTGTCCAAACTGAAAAGAACCATTTGCTGCGTACTCCGCAACCTTGATCTCTCCTTGGAGGTCTTGGAAACCGTCCGGAGCATGCGCATCAACCATTTTTTGGCGCTGAACCACAGGCCCGAGGCCAATTGCGTTGAGTTCTTTCTTGTCGTCCTCAGTGCCTCGAACCAGTATCTCCAGTCCGAAAAGCTGCATCTGGTCACGCAGGGCGGTCGTCCACTTGGTGTACTCTTCCAAAAGCCTCTCCAACTTCTTCTTGTCAAAAAGCGACCAGTCGTAGGCGACTCTCATCAGCGACATGGCCTTGCTCTTGGCGCGTTGAAGAAGCGAGCCCTCGGTCCTCTCGTCCAGTGCCAAAGCATCTATCTCCGTTGTCGCCAGGCCGTATTTGATAGCGATTAGTTCGTACTGAGCGAGTGACTGGCGCATTTGCATAAGGAGGTCGATGACGTTCTGAGCGACAAAAGGATCGGCCTTCCCTGGTAGAAGCAGACCGCGCTCGGGGTCCACGAAAAGGCGCTGGAAGGTGCGCAGGGTTGACAACTGGGTGTTCAAGGTGAGTCGCATTGCCAGCCGGTCATCATCGAAAGACTTGACATCGTCGATGATGCCTTTGATGAAAACAGTGACTTTGTAGGCTTGCTCGATGGCAGTGCAGGCTGTGCCGTAGAAGTCCATTCTGGTGGTGTTGGAGTTGGAGAGGTTGCCCAGGCAGGGTGGAGGGCGGGGTACGAGAAAGGTCAGCGAGGCTGAGAGTGACTTACTAAAAGGAATGACTAGTTATAGTAGGTAGAAGTCTCTTGTATTGCATGGTATACTAAGCTAGATATTCTAGAAATAAATAAAAAGTTTTATAAGTGGTTATTTAAGCTAAAAAAACCTTTTTTTACTAAAGCCCTAAGGCTACTAGTAGCCTTAGGCACTTACTTTTAATACTTTTTTTTATTTATATTAAAAATTTTTTTAAATTAGTAAGCTATAAGTTACTAGTATAAAAAAAGTCTTTTTTAAATTAATAAGCTATAAGCTATTAATACTAAAAAAAGGCTTTTTTAAAGGTATAATTTATAGGTAAGTATTAAAAAGCTAGTAATTAAAATAATAAAAATAGTAAGTATTAATAAAAGCTTTAGGTATTAATAAACTAAAATAATCCTTAAAAATATAAGTAAATAATAATAAAATATATAAAATAATAAATTTTTAATAAAAGCTTTAGGCACTAGGTGGCCCAAAGGTAAAGTAAAATAATAAATAATAAATTAAGTAATTTATAAATTTAAGGGCTAGCCAGCGTGTTTATTAATTTTTTTATAAATTTTATAGTTTTTTTATAGCTAAAAAAGTAATAATAAATATTAAAATATATAAAAATTATTTTAGGGGCAAGAATAAGGCCTAGTTTATATAAAAAATATTAATTAATAGTAGTAAACTAGTATATAATAAGCTATTTAAGAATCTTAATTCCTAGTATAGGGTAAATTACCTAGTATAATAATACATTAAATTTACTAAAGCATATATTTTAAGTATTAATTTTTTTTTTAAAAAACTTAGTGCTAGTATAATACTATATATTTTAAAAAATATAGTATTAGCCTAGTAATTATAGTAGGTGTAATTAAGCCCTAAATATAAAGTTTTTAAAATATAAGCTAGTAGGATTATAATAAAAATTATAATTTTAATAATAATATTTTTTTTTATTAAAAAATAAAATTACCATGGTAGCCTATATATATTAAAAACTAATAATATTATTTAGCTACCTAATTTAAAAAAGTCCTAGGGTTTTAAAGGCCGCTAACCATGTGGTATAGCTATGTTGTAAAGCCTAAAAAATATTAAATAAAAATTTTAATTAAGGTAATTAATAAGCTAATAATACTAGTAAGCCTAAATTTTAGTATTTAAAAATAAAATCTCCCGCGGGTAAATATAGGAAGCACTAGGAATTTTATTAAATTAAGCTAAAAATATATTAACTTTTAGTATTATAATTAAAATATTATATAAAACTAGGGTAAGATTTTAAAATAATATAATATTATATTATTTTTATTATAGGGTTAATCCCTAAAAACAAGAATAAAATAATAATAAGCTAAAAATAAAAATAATTAAATATAGTTTTATAATACGCGGGTTATTATAAGTCTAGTATAAAAAAGGCTAATTCTAGTATAAAAATTACTAAAAAACCTACTTATATAAGCTTAGGAAGAATTCTTAATAAAACTTTAAAGTATTTAAATACCTTAGGCCCTAGTGGCTTAGTAAGGCTATTTATTATTTATTTTTTAATAAAAATAAACTAAATATTAATAACGCCTTTAGCCTTTTTTTTTTAAATAAAATAATATTAAATATTAATATGCTTGCTTTAAGTATAAAACTAAAAATTACTAGCTAGTATTATAACGCCTTTATTATTTTTATAAATTATAATAATAGTAAAATCTATTTTTTAAGTATTTATAAGCTTTCCTAGCAAGTAGCAAAGCTAAATAATTTTTTTAATAATTTATATTTTTTTTATATACTTAGCTTTATAAAAAAATAAAGCCACGGTAGGCTAATACTTAAAAAACTAGCTAATAATTATAAAATTTATATAAAATATATATTTAAAGGTAAAATAGCGCGTTTTTAAATTACTACCTTAATTAATATTAATATAGCTAGTTAGTGGTTAAAAATCCCTAAAAAATACTAGTTTATAATTTATAAAGCCCTAAAAGTAATAAAACATGTGCTTAATAATTATTATATACTTTTTTATAAGTTTAATAAAAAAATAACTTAAAATAAATATAGGATAGGTAATATTAGCCTAAGTACCTAGTATAAGGTATATTAAAAACCTAATAATATTTTAATACCACTTTAAAATATTTATTAAAGCTATATATTTTTTAAAAGCAGGCTCTAGCTTTAAGCAAGGATTTATTAATATATTATAAATTTTAAAGTTATTTATACTAAACTAGTAAAAAATTTTATTTATATAGCCAAGCTAGGAAAGCTAAAGTATTTAATTAGCTTAATTTTAATAAACCTTTATATTAAAATAGTAATAGCAAGAACTAAAATTAAATATTTTAAAGTACTTACTTAAAGTATTTTTAATTTTTTAAATCCAGGCTTTATCCTTATTAACTAGCAAGAAATTATTTATATATATAGTAATAAAAATCTTATTATTAGTAAAAACTTTTAAGTTTAAATAAATAAAATAAAAGCCTAGCATGGCCAGGAAGTTTATAAGTAATTAATACTAAATTTATAATATTTATTTTAGGTTATAAAAAGCCTTTTAAAGCTAGTAAACATGCTTAAAGCTATTAATAAAAAAATAAGGCTATTTTATAAAAATTATAATATTAATATTTTTATATAAAAATATTATTTTTATATTTATTTATTTAATTTTAAGGTCCAGCGCGGTAATAATAATAAATAAAAGCTTATAGCTTATTAGCTTTATTACCCTAGTAAAAATTTTATAATAATTAAGCTTATAAACTTACTTAAAGCTATAAATTACCTAGCAAGCTTTATAGTAAAAAATTTAGCCTTTTAGTTTTTTTTTTAATTTTTAGGACCTATTTATTAAAAAGTAAGTATTTTTTAAAAAATAAGTTAATAAAATCCTAGGTCTTATTTTTTATTAAAAAATTATATTTTTTTATATACCCTTAAATTACTTATTTTATTTATTTTTAACTTTAGCTTGTTAAACTATTAGTTTATTTCTTTTAAAAATTTATTTATAAAGTATTATAGCTAGTACTAAAATATTATTTAAGCTAGGCTTATTAACTAATGCTTAAAGGTTATTTAAATAAGGTTTATGTAAGTCGCGTTTATATACTGCGGTGAGCTTAGGAGAACGTGAATTATTGTAATAGGAAAGGCATTGTGTATTTGTAGTAGGAACTAATTGCTAATTTTTTTAAGTTAGAGTTTAAAGTTAAACTTAATATTTTATATATTATATAACTAGCCGCCGCCTTGGCATGCAGCTAGTTTAGCACTAAAGTTTTTTTACCTAGCGGCCTTAGGCCGCTAAATTATATTATTATAATATTATATAGTTATAATACTATAATAATAATAATAGTACTTTTTTTTTAAGTAATCACGCCCTTGCAATTTATAAATTTATATTTATACTTTATAAAATATAATTTAAATTATAAATCTTGTTAAGCACTATAAAATAAGCTATTTTTAAATTTATAAAGTATTATAGTTTGCGTGCAATTTATATTTAAAGTTAGGTATAAAAAATTAATTTAATTACCTTACTTTACTCTTAAATTTAAATATAATATTACTGCCTGTAGTAGCTAGGCGTAGTATTTTAATTTTAATATTAAAGCACCTTTATAATTTTTTTTTAAGTCTTTTTTATAACTTAATTAAAAATGCCTATTATAAGTATACACCTTTTTATTATATTTTTATTACTTTTTAATTATTTAATTATATTTTTAAAATTAAAATATCTTATATTTACCCTTTCCCGCGCTTTTTAAGTATTATATTATTTATTTTAGTAATATTAATCCCGTGTTAGTATTATTAGGCCTGTATATTTTATTTTACTTTATACTTAGTTTTTATAATAAAGTTTTAAGCTTTAGATAGCTAAATCTTTTTATTTTTATACTTTTTTTAATACCTTTAGTAATTATTTATAATATATAATTATTTTATTCTAGCTATTAACATGTTATTATATTAGTTTTTTATTTACCTTTTTTTTATATCCTATTACGCACTTACTTTTTTAATTTAGCTAATAAGCTTTTTATATTTAGCTCTTATTATTTTTATATTTTTAAAACTATTTTTAATAGTTAAATTAAACATAGTTTACTTTTATTATAGCCTTTATTATATTATATATTTTTAACCTTATTTTTTTTTAAGGTCTCCTATACTTGCCCTTTGCTTTATATTTTTTTTACTTTAATATTTAATATAGTTTTATATCGCGCTTTAAATACTATTATTAATAGTTATTTATTTTATTATAATATTTTATTTTATATTTTTTTATTATAGTAGTTAAGCCTTGGTTTTAGCCTTTACTTTTTATTTTACCTTTAATATATAGGATTATATTTTCCTGCCCTTTACTTATATATTAATAACTATTAATATACTAGCTATTAAAATAACTTAATTTTAATACTTGCATGCCCCTGCTATTATTATTATTATTATTCTTACTATTATTCCTACTGCCCCCGCTAATAAAGCTTTTATTAATATTTTTTTTACCACCCCCGGGCTTTATAACTTTACTATTTAATTTTTATATTTTATAATATATTATATATATTACTATCATGGGGCGCCATAATAAAAATATATTTATTATAAATATTATAATAAAAGCCTTTATATATAACTACTTAAGGGGTAAAAAGTGCTAGTTTTACTATAATATAAAAAAGGCGTTTTTAAAGTATATAGCTATTAATATTACCCTAATAAATAACTAGCTATAAAACATTCTTAATATTATTAATATTATGCATGTAAAAGCTAATAATCCACAAGCTTATAAAAACCTTGCTGCCTTAAAGGTGGCTTATTAAGTATTTAAAGTAATTATTAAGTAAATTATTATGGCTAATAATACACAGGTAACTAACCTTATA